TGGTGATTCAAAGTGGAAAGGTGAAGAAGGTCAGAATTTGCATTTATACCTACTGGGCTGTCGGAGAGCAGCAAGGAAATAGCCCAATTTGTGCAGACAGCCCATAATACAGGACATAATGCTGACTTTATTAGAGATCAAGGAAAAAAATAAAGCATTTTTCAACTGCTCTGGTTAAAACTAAAGAAATTAAACCAGAATATTTCATGCTGTGTCTGTGTACAGCCAATGTCTAATGTATTTAAGCTCCTACGGAAGAATAAATTAGGCAAATTACATGTCACTAATTATGCAATGTACCTTTGGTGAGTGCTTGCGTAAGCCTGTTCTTCCTTAGCTATGGAAGAACAAGTCACAGAAATGCTGACTTATTTCCAGAGATCAACTAATAAGTGAGCTTTTTCCTTAAATGAGTTTGCACAGTAAGTACATTTTGTTCCAGAGAATGAAATGCAGACATGACCCATCATCTGTGCAAATACAAGCTGCCTAACCAGACACTGAGAAAGCCAGTTTGCCAGCCTGGCTCTTGTGCTCTCAAGAGAGAGGAGGAGCCAGGAGCCTTACCTACCCTAGCACTGCCCATGAAAAGCAGAGCCTGCAGCCTGGGTTCCAGTGCCCCCACTAAAACACACAGATGTCATGTAGTGCTGCTATCCTGAGGGTATTTGAACCAAGTTACTTCACTGTGTGGAAAAACAGAAACCACCAAAGAGACAAAACAGAGGTTTGATGAGAAGCTTCAGCTTGTTATTTCCCTGGAACAGAGCATCCCTGCATCGAGTGGGTTAGGTTGCTTATCAGCAGTCCTCTGGGGATTAATTCGATCAGCAGTGATAGCTGTGTGGATCTTTTCTGAAGCTGTGTTCACCCCAGCTGTTTACATTACAAACGTATCACAGTGCCACTGATGATACCATGTGCCAAGCACTGAACAGACCATACAGTCAGGCTTGATCCCTACTCACATTCTCCAGAGAGCTTCAGCTTCCAAGAAGCTTATCTGCTCTCCCAAACAGCACTGGCAAAGAAAGACATCTCTCTCCAAGCTGCAGTCTCCCCTGCACTTATCACAGTCAACACGGCTGCTGTTGTGACATGAGTTCTGCTCCCTCTATTCATGCTGCTCTACCTCTGCCACACGACAACAAGCCAACGATCATCAGCAAAGCTCAGGAGGCCGGGAAAGGCAGCATCACTTTGAGCATGCACCAGACATCCTCTCCTCTCTGAGACAGGCTAGCACAGAGCTCTGCATCTTATCCAGCTAATGAGGGAAAAATGAAAAACAAAGCACTGAAGCAAAGCATATGTATTGGACAGCCAGGGAAGAGGGGATGTTGTAGAGCAACAACCTGTATCAATCCCCCAACAAAGGATGCACAGTAGCTCCCAGCTGCATCCCAAAGCACTGAGACTGCCCTTGCAAGCCTGGCCTGGACAGCTGTGAGTTAGCAGATTCCCTCAGTGGGGGGCTACCAGAAGGTGTCTAGACTGAGGTGCTCCTGGGAGACAGTGTCTTCGAGAGGACAAAGCAGGGAAGCCCGGCTGGGTAAAGCCCTTACACCCATCTCTGCTCTGCACCACGCTCTCTTAGTTTTCCTAGCCAACAGCCTCCTGACCTGGGTTTAACAACACTCACACATTTTCCACTCCCTTCTATATCCTACCTACATCTCCTGCATCCAGGACACAGCTGACCACACAGGCACACAACTCTCCTGTACCCTGCTCACACCTCTGCTGGGATTTGTGACACCCCCATGGAGTCAGAGGACCTCGGACCTCAGGAGGGGAAACACCAGGTGCCAGCCGGTGGCATCCACAAACCAGAGCCACAGAGCACCCTTGAAGCAGCACACATGCAAGTACCTCTCTCAGGCCCCAGCCTTCCTACTCTGTCTCCTTATGCTTGGGGCTTGTGATCTGGGAAATACAGCAGGGAATGGGAGGGAAGGCAGATCCAGACTTTCTCGTGCCCAAGGGGGAAACCACTTGCACCTCCCCAGAGAGGATGAACAGATGCAGTCACAGCTCTGCCATGAACTACAGTGCAAGGCAGGCTCTTGATACTTGTGGAAATGATGGGAAAATGACACAGCCTGCGATGAAGGCCTCCACCCAGGGAGCTGCAGAGCATTGCTTAGAAACAGGTGAAGAAAACTGTCACTTAAAAAGTCAGCCCTGTCCTTCAACAGTCAAGACTGGCAGGTAAAAGGCCACAGTTGGTAGTCATTTGGGGTCTCCAAACCCCAGATGGGTATTTTGGGTCTTTGAGATCCCAAACTATCCTCTCCAATGTCAGGGTGAACTCTTATACCCCCACTGCACAGCAGTGTTAACACCTCTGCCCAATGCAATCTGCACTTCCATGCACTCCTGGCAAGCACGCTACCTCTCTGTACCCCAGGATGCCTGCAGGGAGCCAAGCAGGGTGGCTAGTGCTGCCAGGCTTGGTACTGATCCTTTGCTTATTTTGGAGCAGTGGTAAGATGCAGAGTGCACTCCTTCCCGCCAGCCCTGAGTCATCCAACTGGCAGCGCAGCAGCTTCAGCCTGAGCGTGGCAAATCAGCCCCTCTTCCCTTTGACAGACAGAACAAGGAGGTGAATGATTATGCTGATAACAAGAGTGGTTTGGGAGCTTCCTGCATAAAAGTGCTGACAAAAACAAGAGCTTGGATGATTACCAGCTACCAAACCTGTCTGTTACAACAGACACATCTCAGATGCCAAAGTCCAATGTGAAACTTTTTAACGATGACACCTACCAACCACCACTGACACGATGCTGCAGTGCCTTAGCTGGCTCTGAAACAACAGCAATGCCTACTGCTGTGAAATTCCTAGGCTGAGCTGATTATTAATATGCTTCAGAGACACAGGCACACAACTACCTTTGGAAGAAAGCAGGTCAGACAGAGGTTTTCCTAGGAAGTTTTTCAGGAAGTTTAAGGTCACATTAGTTATGCTATGTCCGTGCCAGTTTGTGTCAAAGACTGGCTGATTCAAACGCAAGGTGGGCAATTCTCAGAGGGAACCTTCTTCCCACCTGTGTTCATCAAAAGACTGTTGTAACAGAGTGCTATCAAGAGGCCACTATCTATTTATCAGGTACAAATCCTGGTCCTGCTCACTTACCCACATTTAAGCCTAGCCAGAATCAGGTGTGATAGGATGTCTGAAAGTAATCTTGCAAGAGGGCCCCCAACGTAAGACATACATGGACCTGTTAGAGCGAGTGCAGAGGAGGCCACAAAGATGCTCAGAGGGCTGGAGCACATCTGCTTTGGAGACAGGCTGAGAGAGCTGGGCTTCTGGGGAGACCTTTAGAGCAGCTTCCAGTACCTAAAGGGAATGACAAAAACGCTGGAGAGGGACTTTTGAGAAGGGCATGTACGGATAGAAGGGGGAGGGGCTTTAAACTGACAGAGGAGAGATTAGATATTAGGAAGAAGTTTTCCACTGTGAGGGTGGTGAGGTACTGGCACAAGTTGCCCAGAGAAGCTGTGGCTGCCCCATCCCTGGTAGTGTTCGAGGCCAGGTTGGTCAGGGCTTGGAGCAACCTGGTCTAGCATAAGGTGTCCCTGACCATGGCAAGGAGGCTGGAACTGGATGAGTTTAATGTGTCTTCCAACCCAAACCATTCTAGGATTCTGCAATTCTATAAGAATAGGTCTCCAAAACTCTGGCTTCACTCCTAGCATGCATTTTCTGCATGGTCCTTCATTTGCTCTGTTTGTCAGCAACCAGTCTCCTTCCACCACCAGTACCTGATTTAGTCAATTCTGGCATTAAATTATTTTCAGACTTTTGTTGTTACAATTGCCTAAAAAAAAAATATTTGGTAAATGTGCCACAAAATCTTAAGATCTATCACGAAAGGCAAATATACTCTGGAGAAAATGTTCATGTATGCAGAGAGCTTTAAATACATTTGACTGGCTTGGCAGAGTTCAGCACCTTCTCTGGAGCCTCTACCCCATTTGGGAGATTTGTGTTCAGTTACTTTATTACTGTTAACACTTAACCGTCCTTCAACTTACAGCAAACGTGAGCATTTCTGCCAGGAACAGAGGAGCTGGGGTCTCTCTGGACTGAAGTGACTTTCAGAGGTTACCCAGTGGACATCTTGTGCCTCCCAGAGCATGGTGATACCTGCACCAGACTCGCTTCCCTGCTGGAGAAGGTTCCAGTCAGTGATGCAGGGAAGTTCATGTAAGGCCCGCTGCCTATGAGCATCACCTAGGTCCTAAACAATATTAATGTGTGCTGTTTCTCACTTATGGGCTTATCAGAGAGAATGCAGCAAGATACAACCAACACCCATACACTGCTTCTCCCTTCCATTATTTAGGCAGGCAGCATTCCATTATTCAGGCAACACTGAAGGCTCTCACAGCATGGATGCAACATGAAACGTGATGAAGGCACCATGTCATTGCTGCGAGGCAGGTTTGGGGCATCTCAGTTCTTCCCCCAAAAGGGGAAAGGCAGGCTGGACTTGCTCCTGCTTATCTTGCAGTGGATCAGACCATGCTATTCAAATCCTCTGTACAATGCTGCTGCCTCAAAACCAAAGGTACAGCAACCAAGCTTAGCTTTTAATGTTGTCTTGTTTCTTCTTTCAAGTCCTAACACTTCATCTTCTTTTCCTATTTACAAGCTGGTAATTTGGTTGTGAATCTTCTCGTATCCGGTGGCTTTTTGTGTAAAGGCCTGTCCGACTGAAACGTCTCAGCTTTCACTTTTCAGGACATTCCCAGCATTTAGAGTCACAAAGAAATGCCAGTAAGTGGAATGTGAAAATCACTGAATCACAGAATGGTTGAGGTTAGAAGGGACCACTAGAAGTCATCTAGTCCAACCTCCCTGCTCAAGTAGGGTCACCTAAAGCACATCCACTGTTAAAAATCTACCATAAAAGGTCAGAAACCAAATAAAAGGCAGAAAATATGTTAGCACTATCAGTTAAAAGAAAAAAAATAAACTACCAAAATCATCCTTTTCTTGCCAGTTTAACCCACTGCTGTGTAGTCTAAAAGTGTGGCAGCGATGATCTCAGCCTGGCCTGTGATGGAGAGGAGTCCTTTCTCCATTAAACAGTTGCTCAGCCCTTCCTGGCAATCAGGCCCCTTCTGGAGCTCTCATGAATCTCATGTCCAGTTTGAAAATCCTGACCAAGAAGTATATATAACCTCTCTAATCCCTTTTCCGGTTTTAAAACTGAATTCCTGATGAGTGGGTCATTCCGATTATAACATTGGCCCTGATGGGAAACATGATGGATTTCACACAGTTTGTTTCAGTCTCTGCTGTTGAAACGAGGGACTGGGAGCAGAGATCTCCAATGGCTTTACTGGATCAGAGGGAGCAGGCTGCTGAGTATCTGCAACTGTCAAGCACAAGGAATTTCAGAAAAACAATCAGTGTACTCCAAGCCTGCATTGAGCTGGCTGGACTTCACTGTGCTGATCAGGATTGAGACCAACAATCCTTATTTTAGGAAAAGCAGGGACCCCTACTCTTGGTGAGAAACTATATGTGATTTTTTTTCACCTGCAGCTCCCTCAGCCATTCATCCAGCAACTAGCAGCATTTGTGAGGTTTATGCACCACTTAGCACACTCAGTGAGAGAGCCTTAAATGATGCACAGCCTTCTGCTGACTTTCTGCCCAAGGCTAAACCCTATGCTTGATGCATTACGCACCCCTACACAAGCTCCCGGGGATGTACATATGTGACAATAACCCAGCTTTGAGAGCTGACCGGGGGCAATTTCTTCTGGGTGCCATACAGTCACCCTAATTTGCTCTGTGATCTTTGAAAAGGCAAATTATATTTATGAAACAAAGGAGGAGGGTTGCACTAAGCAGCTGCTCATTTTCAGGCCTGACTAACCAGAGAGTAACTAGGACAAAGTTTGATCCATTTCAAAATAGCGTGTATTTTTAATGACCTATAAGCCCATTTTCAGAACACAGCAAGGACTTTCTGCTTTAGTTTGAGTAACAGCCTCGGACTCCTCCTTCACCAGCAAGGCTGAAAAACGTAGCAGTAGAACAGTCACCCCACAGACTGATGTCACCAGACAATGCTGCAGTCACTGGATATAAACACATCTTTCAGGGCAATGAGATTCTATTATACAAATGTACACTTTTATTAAAGGGGGCTTTTTTTTTCCTAGTAAAAATACAGGCATTTTGCTCCCTAATGTATTACCTGCAGTGTCACCCAGCCTGGCAAAGTGGCAGAAAATCATTCTAGGAGTTGGTAAACCTCTGCAGAAGACAGAGTATGATTTTGACCTGCGGATGGGTTGCAGCACAAGGCAGCTAATCCCACAGAGATCCACTTGGATCCATGGATGGTTCCAGATTCTTGCAAAATTCATAGAGAATCTAATCAGTGACACATCAGATTTCACTCAAGTATGGCTTAGCAGCCATGTTCAGACTGAGGGATATAACCAATTGCCTTGCTGGACCAAGGCTACAATTTCCAAGACGATGTTTTCTCCATTTAGATCTGTTTCAGCACCATTTGCATTTTCTTCTGCTATCAAACTCTGATGGGAAAGCACCAGCATGTGTACATGTATGCGATATTCAACACACACAGAGACAGGACTGACACGTCTGTCACACGCTCTGTGAGACAAAGCTGAGAACATCACCATATTCACTGGGAAGTTTTCCCTTCAGTTTACCCAAGGGTCTAACGACCTTCATCAAGAGGCACAGTTAAAAATAGCACCAATAAAATGAGTGCCGCTCATTTTCTCCCTTCTGTCTTGCAATAAGACCACCACGCGCTCTGTTTACTCAAATCACACACTCTGTTATCCCAACGCTTCTGCAAACATGTCCCTGAACTGTTAATCATTACCATGGGAAATACTACTCTCATCTATACAAATTATAATGTAATTTGTGTATCTAAACATCACAGCTCAGCTCACCTGCTCTACCTGAGGAGGCAAGATACCATGCGCACTGATGAGTTCAAAGGGAATACAACTCAGAGGAAATGACAAATTACACTCAAAGCCTCAAAGAACCGCAAATGGCTGTATAAAACGTGATTTTCTACAAGACAGGACGCCAGTGGAAGCTGGTAAAGCAGTACCCCACTAAGCACCAGATGCAAGACGAAAGCCAGCAGGAGCCCCGTTGCTTGCTCAGTGCAGCCCACCTGTGGGACCAGCTTTGGATCAATGGAGCAGCAGTAGCTGCTGGTGGATCCAGGCCCACCGCAGGCAGGAGGAGAAGGGAAACCTTGCAGGAAAACCCTCCTCCTCCCTGACGATGCTGTTGCCAGCTCCCCCAGGCTCAGGTGGGGTTTCTAAAGGGATGAATTTGAAATGTCCCGTCTGGAGGGTCTGACACACCGAGACAGCCCTGCAGCTTCCAGAAATGCGAAGCACCCCTGTGCAGGAGCGACCTGTCGGAGAAGGCCGGCGTCCCCGTCTGAAATAAGTGGGTTGAGCAGGACTCCTGTTCCCCGTCTGGAGCGGGTGGTGGCTGAGGTGACACCCCACCCCCGGGGACTGCGGGCAGGTGCTGTGTGGACAGGGCCGTCAGGGCAGGCCTACGGAGGGCGCGGGCAGCCGTAGGGCTCGCCGCAGAGGCGGCTGCCGGCGATGCCCGCCCCGTGTGGGGCTGAGGGCGGTGGCAAACCAGGGGCACCTCGGCCCGCCCAGCAAACCAGCGAGGCCCCCCAGCGACTGGCACCCCAACCCAAACCCCCCCTCCCCGGCCACGCTGCGAGCAGGCAGCAACCGCAGGCAGCAGGGCAGGGGCAGGCGGACACCCACGCCACCGGCTCCAGACCCCGGAAGGAGGGGAAAAAGGGAGAGAAGATGCCCGTGTGTCCCCACGGGAGGAGCGGGGACAGGGCGGCCCCCCACCCCCGCAGGCCGCCCAGCTCCTCCAGGGACGGCCGAGCCCCCCACCACCGCCCGCCGGCGGCACCACCGCCCCGCCCCGGCGGCCCAGGCCCAGGCGGGGCTGGACTCGCCCTCCGCCCCAGCGCAGAGAGGGCCCCGGGCCGCCGCAGGCCCGGCATTGTTCGCGGCCCCGGGGCGCTGCCCGCCCCGCCCGGGCTCTCTGCCCCTCCGCGGGAGCCGCCCCGCCGCCGCCCCCCCGCCGCCTACCCCAGCTGCTCCTCTCCCGGCGGTTCCGGGCCATGGCGGGGCGCGGGGCTGCCCGGGCCGCGGCGGCTGCGGGAGGCTCCGTGCACGCTCCGAGCCGTGCTGCGTCTGCCGCGGTGGCGCGGGGCGGGCGGGGGAGCCGGCAGCAGCATCCCCGCCCGCCGCTACGGCGTGGCACGGCACGGCACGGCACGGCGGCCCCTGGGGCATCCGCCCAAGCCGCACCCGCCCTCGGGCACCCACTCGTGCATCAGGCATGGAGACCAGGGACACCCACCTCCAGGGGCGGCCACACCCTGCGACACCCTCGCACCCATGGGGGCACGGCTGGGGACCCAGCACAGCCGGGATGTGCCTGCACCCGGGTCACTCTTACCAGAGCACTGGGCTTGGGGAAAGGGATACCCACATGGGGGGCATCCACACCTGGGGACACTTAGCACGTTCATGGGCATCCCCCCCACCGGAGGCAGCCCCATCTGGGCCACCCCCATGGGCACCCACCCATGGGGGGACACTGGGCACATAGCTCCCCAGTTGGGCTGCCTTGTGTGTGATGGACTGAGATGGAGCTGACACACATTCATACCCTCCAGGGTGACACTTGCACAAGTACCCACCCAGGTAGGATCACTCACACGCAGCACCCAGGTGGGACACACAACCCGAAGGAAAGCTATGCACAGCAGCTCATGCACACACAGAGCTGAAACATGTCGTGAACCGTACCTACAGTGTGCAGCAAGCACACAGGGATACATGGGCCAAGAGGGATCCTGCCCTGGCATGGGGGTAAATCAGCTCCAGCTCCCCCAGTTCTTGCCTGTGCCGGCAGCATCCGCAGGCAGTAGGAGATACGTGCTGTGCATGTGCGGATGCTGCACAAAAGATGCAGCTTGAGGACCCAGGCTTGGGCACCCCTGGGGAAGATCTAGCTGCAGTGTGATTGATAACATGCACCTTCCCTCCAGATTTTCCTCTTTAACAACAAGCGCTTGTTCCCTCATATTTGGGATTGATTATGCACTCTGCCATGTAAGACCATGACTCAGCCCAAGGCAACAGGAACGCCCAGGTGCAAAACTTGGGCAGGGGAGCAGTGATGCTAGCTCCACATGCTGGCTGACTCAACGTGCCCCTTGTGCCCTCAGCCAAAACTTCCCACCTGGAGGAATGCAAGGAGCATGTTCTTATTTATTTTAACTTGTCTTCTTGTGCTTTCTTGCCAGCTGCAGCCTCCCAGGCCTGTGTTCATTGTGCAAACCCAGGAAAAGTGTTGAAGCCTTCTGCAATGCCAGGCACAGAGAGCTCACCCACTCCCACCCACACTGTGCAGACCAGCACACAGGTAAACACACTTGTCCTCAGCTCATGTTTGCCCACACGATGCCAACAAGCTGCTGGAGTTGACCTGTCTCTGAAGCCACAGTCCTGTGCTGCTCTTTGGAAGAAGCACAGCACAGTGCTCAAAGAACAATGGATTAAACTGGAAATGTGACAGTCACCAGAGGATTCTGTGGACCAAAATCTGGAAGGATGAGAGGGAACTGAGCCCAAGACTGCAAGAAGAGATTCTGGGAGAGTGCTGCTCATTTCTGCACTGCTAACCTCCAGCGGTCAGTGAAAGCTGTGGCCATCCAGCATTGCTGGATGCACAGGAACAAGCAGGATCCACTCTTCATTTCTGAAAGTGGGAAGAATGTTCACAAGTGAACCAATTTTCTCTTCCAGGCAGCTCATCCGTGCTACAGCCATGTGTTGTTGCGCTCCCACTGATGTGCTGGTACTTAATTTGTAAGCGCCTTTTCCAATACTCGGCGACTGCCTCCCGTTGGCTTCCTTGCTGTGTTTACAGCATCATGGCAAAACATATAATTTCAGCTTGCTGAAGTGCTGGCCCACGTGGCAGGCAGCTGAATCCTCCTACCCGCAGCTGCTGGGCACTGCGACCGCGAGGAGCTCAGCCGCTCGTGGCCTCTGCAGAAGCTCCCTTATGATTTTTATAAATAATCCCTGCAATTGCATGTGCCTGCTGCTTCTTCAATGTGGCAGAGAAGTAACTGGTTTTGTGAGAGGGGGAATTTCTTATGCTGGATACTGTTGGAGGGGTTCAAATAGGTTGAAAGAGGAGATTAAAAGAAAAGAAGCTGGGAAACGGAGACGGGTAAAAGAAAGAAGGTGGAAAAGAAGATCTGTTCATTTGAAAGTCTAATTAAACTGAGATGGGCTTAGGTTCTGTATTCCTCATTTCCTTTGAGAATTGCTGCTTAGGTCAACCTTGTACTCCCCATTTACTGGCATTTTTTCCCTTTCTCTTTCCGTTATGGCACATGGCATCAAAATGAAAGCAGAGCGGAGAGGTTTGATCCTGTGCTGTGCTGGGGGGATTGACTGCATGAATTCCTGAGGCCTTTTCCTGCATTATTTCCTCTGATCCCTAGTCAGGGGGTTTTGCAGATGATTTTGTTTCTGGGGAGTGACTCAGCATTTGTTCATTTGCACCCACCATCCATCCCTTCAATCCACCAATAGAGCCTTCTTTTATTTTTCCAGTTGCAAACAGCACTTCCTAGGAAGTATCTTTACATTCTTGGTACCCAAGTTGTCAGATCACAAAGAGCTAATTTCACAGCAGACATGGTGAACAGGCATGCAATGGAAGGATTCTTGAGGAAAAATAATACTCCACAGAGATAGACTGAAGGCAGGGGATCATCCAGGCTGATGTGCCAGGAGATACAGTGCTGAAAAGGCCCCAGAATTAGGAGAGAACCTGGGTTTAAATCCATTCTGTGTATTGCTCAGATAGCGTGCAGGGCAGCTTCATAATTTACCTTGATTTGACTGGCCCACTTACCCAGGCAGCATTCACAGTTGCTTTTGATATCCCCAGCCCTTCACAAACAGAAACCAGCTGCCTTGTGCAATATTTATGTAAGAGGTGGGAAAGAGACGCTACAGAATCTCTGCTCTTTCTCAGGTGCCACCAAGTACTTGCCAGGACTTGCTGTTGAGGGAAACCATGCTGTCTGCACAAGTTTTCCTTGCCATGACACAGACAAGTCTTACCCCAAGTGACAGCTGTTCTTATGGTGATTATACAAGGTTCTTGAATATGTTTGCTTCTTCCCTGAAGTTATTATTATCACTTCTGCCTTCTCAGTCTTCACTCTTTCACTGCTTATGCTTAATTGCATGGGAAAGTAAAAGGATTATAGATCCATATACATGGACTTCTCCCAAGCAG